TAATTTTTCCAGAGTTGGTGTTCAAGCGTGTATTAAGAACAAAATAATTCTGAAGTAATTTTAGCTGATTATGAGAAGAGACATCGGATATTCCATTACGGGAATCACGTTATACTAAGGACAGTTTTTTTTTTTTTGTTGTTCTTTCCGTGAGAGTACCATGAAGAAATGGAGTGGGACCCAGGCTCGGCAAAACTCGGAGCGCAATGAAAATCAGGGTCGGCAAAAACAGGCTCGGAGGTACTGGTGGTTTAAGAGTAAACATCCAAGAGAATATCATGACTCAGGAATTACCGGTCTACAAACCATTACCGTCCTACGTATTATCAAAATAAGAAGAGTCAAAACGTAGATTCCAAACACGACAGAATAGAAGATCACGACACGATCTAGCTAACAAATCCGTATCAGATCCACTGTGGAGATTTAGAGCAGTACTTTGGATGACGACTTCGATCAGCTGCTGCATGCCAAGCTCCCATCGCCTCGTGAAGTCGCCTTGATCTGCGTGAAGTCACGCAACCCTCCCAATCATCACGAGGCGCTCCACTCCCGCCATCCCCTGATCCGACTGCCAGACCGCTATCCCGACCAAACTCATCCCCTACCTCTTCCTGCGAGAGAATTATCTTCTCCTCCTCATGGCCAGTGCCGTTGCAGCCCTTTGGCGAAGTGCACTGGCTAGAAGAGATTTATTCGACCCCGCCGCCTCCCTAAAACTTCCTGAAGGCGATTGCGTTGTGAGTAACAACGTCAAGCCCGTCAACGCGGCCTCACAAAGAGCTCAATCCATGTACAACGACCCTCAAACAGCCAGGTCAGACGAAGCAAGAGACAGCGAAACAGAGGCTGAAGTAGGAGAAGAGAAAACACAGGGTGCTCATAGCCCTCCCTCACAACCCACCCATGCCACGTGGCATCCTACCCTCCATTACTCGTCATACCCTACCCAACATCCTCCCCACCATGCACCGTCACACCAATCTGCCCCGCGCCTTCCCCCACATGACATCCACCACCCCCCTGCCAACCATACACCCCTCCTGTGGAAGTCCCACGACGCGCCCTCCGCTACGCTGTCGTGAACACGCTAATCGCTTCGTGGCCTCCACCCCGACGCGCATCCGCTCCCCGTTGCTTCGGCCCAGGTGTGGCGCAGCGCTCCCGGTAGCGCTGCACCCTCTGAACAGCTGTTCAGCCTCTCTCTATCTCTCTGCGTGCTTGGCCGGAAAATTCCTTCTTTCTCTCTCTCTCTCTCTCTCTCTCTCTCTCTCTCACACACACACACACACACACACACACACACACACACACACACACACACACACACACACACACTCACACACACCCACATACACACGCGCGTGTAGTAGTGTATATTTCAATGTTCTAGTGGAAGATTCATTCAATTTTGCTCATCCTATTGATGGAAGTAGCGCGAGGCCAGTCCCGGGGTTGGAGACTTATCTGTTGGCCAGTGCGTTGCTCATCCTACGATGGAAAACTCTCTCTCTCTCTCTCTCTCTCTCTCTCTCTCTCTCTCTCTCTCTCTCTCTCTCTCTCTCTCTCTCTCTCT